TAGTCGATAAGGAAATACCTCTTGAAAGCACAAAATGAGGTTTAGAGAATGTTTATTAGGTGGAAAAGAATTTGATTGTCTGCCACATAGAAGAATATTGCCTTTTGAACACATCATTTTATGTTAGTCATGGGTAGTCTAGGATAAATTCCAAAAAACAGAATTGCCAAGCCAAGGTCTGCATGTGTTCATGAATTTGCAGATGCAGTGTCACCAGTTTCTCCTCCCTGGTTCAGTTTACACCCCACTTGCAAACAAGGGCCTAACACTCTACAGCCTCGCCAGCAGTTTTTCATCAAATTTTTCTGTTGTTGTTACACTAACGGGTGAAAAAGGAGTTTAGTGTGGCTTTATTTTGTATTTTTCTTATAATGATGGTAGTTGAGCCATTTTGTTTCCTTTTCTATGAACTATATATTCATGTCTTATAGACAGTTTTCAATTTTAATTTAAAATAGGATTTATAATATAAAAAGAGAAGAATTTGAGGTAATCACCTATTTGATTTATTGTTAATAATATAAAATTGGTCTTGATTCTTCTTGGATACACATACGGACGTGAATATCACATAAAGGTTTTTCCTTTTTTCTAAAACAAAGTTTGGGAGTAACCAGTCCAAACCAGAGTTCACAGTGGACCTTAAGGGAGCGACGATTGAGATGGCTTCAAAGGATAAATCCAGCAAGAAGAATGTATTTGAGGTAATGCTTTTTTTTCTAAGTATCATTCTCATTCTTAACCATAGTAATTTTGTGTTCTGAGCTATTTTGGGAAATAGTCTTTCAGTGTGACTAGTTAGGGCAAAGTTAGTCATTAAGTCAGTTTTATATCATAATTTAAGGAAAAAAAGCTGATGTAGAGATCTGGCTTCATTTGCACAAATCACTGGATCTCAGACTGTACGTTACAAGCCTTTGTTCCACGAGTCTTGCCTTTCCCCAGCAACAGTACAAGGGTGTGGTTTCCTTTACCTGCCAAATCTAAAATTAAAAAATAAATTAAAACCTTTCCGCTTGTCATTCAAAGCCCTGCACAGTAACATGTGACTCTGTATCAGTTACTTATTGCTGCATAACAGGCCACCCCGAAACTTAGTAGCTTAAGAGAAAAACCACTTTGTTCGCTGGACGCGGCCTGTGCCGGGCTGCATGATTCTTCTGCTCCCCCCGGGGCTCCAGGCACCAGGGTCTTGAGGGGCTGGGTGCTCAGACCCCACGTCCCAGGCTCGGTGCCAGCTGTTGGCTGGGCTTTTTCTCACTAGCTCTCTCACCTGGGGGGCCACCCGGGCTGCTTCAGACGTCAGGGTCCCAGAAGGGCTGGAGTAAGAGCTGCAGGGCTTCTTGAGACCTGGGTTTAAGAGCCAGAGGGCAGTGTATTCTGCTGGCGAAAGCAAGTCAGAGGCAGCCAGGGGTGCAGGTTGGTGGAGGAGCAGCGAGTCCCACTGTAGGAGGGCTGTGCTGGGCGCAGAGGGCTTTTTGAGACAGTCTTTGCAAATAATCTTCCAGACCCCGACCTTCCTTGGTAGCCTCCTGTCTCAGGCCTTTCCTGCTTGTTGTCTGGGCAGACTGGAACGGTTGGTGTTTCCCGAGTAGAACCCAAGTTTTCCTGTCTCGATGGTGTTTACTCTTGATTAATCTGCCTCGAGCATCACCTGCTAGTCTCTGCTCGTCAGATGTTTCCTATCTCCCAAGACCCACGAGAAACATTACTGCAGCATTGAGGCCGCTGCTTTATGCTTTTAAAACAGCATTTATTTCTGTGTACCCTGAGTTATCATCCTCTGTAAATTAGTCCCCCCACTAGATGATCAAAAAGATTTTTTGAACCAGAGACGGCATTTTCCCTTACATTTAAGTAAGAACCTCTAACAGAATATCTGACGTGCAGTGAATAGTCAATATTGGCTGATTGGCTTGGCCCACTCCCTAGAAAGTCACGCAGGAAAGGAGGTCCCTGTTTCCTGAGCCAGCCTTGTTCTGTTCCTGAATGAAAAGGATCCCTCCCGTGGTCAGATAAATTTGGGAAATAGTGTATATTTTAATCTTCTGTTAGAAAGTCACAGTGCACCCTGGAGTATCAAAACTCTGAAGTCTTGAAGGACAGAATTTGGTTTAACTCTCTTCAGTCCAGTATTTCCCAAGTTAATATCACCTAGTGGAGTTTTTCTTTTTTCTTTTTTCTTTTTTTTTTGAGGAATACGTTTTAAACATGACTTCAGGAACTAGTTGAGGGATATGTCTCAGAATGTTGTTTGGAAAACATTGCCATATGTTCCTCTGGGAAAAAAGAAATCAAACATTTACCAACCAGAAAGGAGAAGCAGTGCTTTCTACGACTGCCTCAGAGTTCTTCCCCGGCCAGGTGTGGGGAGCTTGAGCCAGAGAGGTTACATGTAAAGTGGTTGTTGCCTTCAGATGGAGTCACACACAGTATCCTTACTTGACTTCATTCTTGTTTAACAGTTTGGTAATGTTTCTGTCCAAAGTGGGTATGATGTTTATTATATCTTTGTACCACTTCATTACAATTCCCTGTTAAAGTGGAAGTAATGGAAGTCTAACTCATGTATTTTCTTCCTACGTTTATTTTTTTAACCAGAGAGAGAAAAATTTCTCAGATTTATGTGAAAATACCACAGATTTTCTTTCTTTACAAAGTATGTTTCAATTCTAATTTAAAATGTAATGTTTGGAAACTTGAACTTTTAAAAAAATTGTTTCTTTTTTTGTTGTTTGGCGGGGAGTAGGTAATTAGGGTTGTTTCTTTGTTAATGGAGGTGCTGGGGACTGAACCTTGTGCGTGTTAGGCATGCGCTCTACCACTGAGCTCTACCCTCCCCTGAACTTATTTTTTTAATGATAAAGTATAGTAGATTTCAGCAAGTTTTATAGCATTTGTGTCATAGAGTTTGGGTTCCTAACTTACTAGATTTTCATTGAGAATCTGTTGTGAGAAAAAGTCATGTTTTGTAAAATAAGTCAGCTGGTGTTGCTTTATACTGAAACAAAAGTTACTCCATCGCTGTGTAGTACAGTAACCTTTCATCACTATTCATGTAATATATGGCATCTAATTGTCTCCTGGTGGTTTTGTAGGCTTTGAATTAAATGTATTTATTTATTTGGTGGAAAGCACTAACCATACTTTTCCCCTCCCTTCTTGTCTTTAAAGCTGAAAACCCGTCAAGGAACAGAGCTGCTGATTCAGTCTGATAACGACAGTGTTATTAACGACTGGTTTAAAGTTCTTAGCGGTACCATCAGCAGTCAGGTGTGTGTTCGCCTTAGGTAACTGTTCTCACTGCAGACCTGGTTTTCTTTTTTGGCTTTCTATCTGGTTATCCTGTGTCTAGTTTCCAATATATGTGAAAAACCACTTTCTAAAAATACGTATTTTGACAGAGGTGGGAAAAGCAGTGGTCCATTTAGCAATTCCCAGGGGCTAATGAGTGATTTCACATTCTCATTTATAGAGTGTTTGCCACCCGTGGGTTTTCGCATGAGGCATTGGTTCAAAAAGAAAGTAGCTCAGGAGGCAGGGACAGTCACACTGTGCCTCGGGCGTGGTGTTCATGGCGTGAGTGAGTTGGAAATAGTACTATTTGGTAGAAACGGGTCCCGAGCAAAATGCTGAAAGGACTGAAGCTGCCATCTCTTTTCTTTCCTCGTGACCTTTCTATTCACAGTGCCCTCATGTTCCTGGTAAGTTTCTTCTTGTGTGTATTACACCCAAAAAGAAGCCCAGGTGTGTATTCTGAAGCAGCAGCAAGTAGGGGCTGCGCCTCCTTAGACGGTGTGTGTGTCCTCACTCCCTCTCCACGTGGGGACGCGGCTCCTGTCTGAGCATCACGTGTCAGTGACAGAAGTGAAATGAAGCGAATGCTTATGGGAGGGTGTGATCTAGTCTAAACCAGCCGGAGACAGAAACAGAGCTGGGGGGTCACTGGCTTCAGGACAGGAGCGGGTGTCTTTCACAGACTTTGTGGGTGGTGCCTCATCGTTAATAAGGCTTGCAGTCTTCTTGAGGCGTCCTCCCTCTGTGGGCCTCAGCTTTTCTATTCATCACAGAGAGATTGGACCGGAATGTCTCCACGGAGCCTTGTAAGCGCCAGAGCTTTACGATTTACCCAGTTAAAGGCATCCAGATTGGAATCTGAGTATTCTTTACCTCTTCCGCCTCCAGCTTTTACCTCTTCTAGCAGATTGTTTACGAGTCTAGATGTGAGTTCTTCCTTCACCATTTGTAACGTTGTATCTTACGACATTTCTGAACCATGTCCCTTTCCTTCCATTTGTTCCTGAATCCACAGACAGGCCTTTGGATGTTTACAGTAAAAGTAGCCTCCTAAACAATTCTCCTCATTCCATCTCATCCCCCACCAATCCATCCTTAACGCCTCTGCTGTATGAAACTTCCTTGTGTCACGTTTATAATCCTCTCCTGCTCAGAAACCTTATATGATTCCCATTAAAATTCAACAGCCTGAACCCAGTGTGTCTTCCTTCTCCCCCACCCAATATGGGCTTTCAGCTTTCATCTCAGTGCCCTGTTCACTAGCCCTTGAGAGCAGGGATGCCACATTCACTTAACAAACGTGTGAGCACCTCAGTCACCGGGGTACAGCTGCACCGTGCCTTGTGTATGGAGCCTGCAGTTGAAGAGAAGATGGCTGAGGACGGACCGCTGCACGGTCTGCATAATGAAGTGGGATGAGGTTTGATGGTCAGCGATGTACAGCACACTGCTAACATGCTGATTAAGTAGGGCTGACCTAGTATAGGGGTCAAGGGAGGCCTTGCAGAGGAAGTGGTTTTTTAAATGAAGGCCTAAAGGATCAGGGAGTAAGCCAACTGAAAAGAGAGAAACATATTACTGACTATAAAAATTTCAAATTGTACACTGTATGACAAGAGATGGGCAAGACTTCTTCCAGGAAAATTACAAAACTTTACTGAGAGACATTGAAGAAAACTTAGTTACATGAGAAGTATGCCCTGTTCATGGATTAAAAGATTCAATTATGTAAAGATACAGTATTCTTCCAAATGAGTTATTAATTTGTAGATCTGAGAGTTTTGAACCTCATTCAAAATCCCAGTAGGTCTTTTGGTGGAACCTGGCAAGTTTCTAGAATTCATATGGGACTGCAGAGGACTAAGAACATCTGAGACACCTGTGAAGAAGACATGCTGAATCAGAAGCCATGTTAGCTCCTGCAAGCTGGTATCCTTACTGGGGTAGATGTACAGGCTTGTGGCGGAATAAAGAGCCTGGAAACAGACCCACTTACCTGTGGTCACTGCAGCCAGTAGATGTCCAGGGCGACACTGGAGCCTTCCCTGCCCTGCACACAGAAATAAGCTCTGAGTGGAGTAAGGTGCTCAGCGTGAAAGACAGCAATGTTCTTAGCTTGTAAAAGTGACTGTTACAGTTAGGCTGTAGGTGAGTTCTAGGATTTCCTTCCATTCCTGACACCATGGGTCTGTGAGTAATGAGTAACTGTTGACACCCAGTGCGACTTTAAAAGACTGTCTGTGTGAAACAGTCAATGTGCTGCTGCTACTTAGCTTTGTCGTGTACCGTTACCGAGAATGTGACATTGTCCTGTTCTGTCACCATAGATTATAGCCTGACCTTCTAACCGTTATAACATGCTGTCACTCAGTGCAGTCGGTCAGAATGAGGCAGGACCGCCTCATCCGCAGGACAAGCCCATTATCCTGTGAATTATCAGCAATTGTTTCTTTACTGAAATTCACAATTAATGCCGGGGGAGGGGGGAGGTGTTTTTAAAGATGTATCAGATATCTAATCACGCACCCTGCATACTGATTGGTTCCCTAAAACCATTTGGAAGAGTGGATTGCTGATCATTCTGAGAACTGCATCCAAAGTGGTATCAAAAGTAATGTGTCTGGAAAATCTCTCACCGACAGACAGTAGAACCCGATGAAACCCTTGAAGAGGAGACGCCAGATTCACCGGGAGTGGAAAAGCACGATAAAGAAAAGGACCACAAGGATCTGAAAAAATCCCGTTGTAAGTTTCTCTTTCCTGTTTTGCTAGTGATCACTAGTGAGAGGGCTTGTCCCTTAGCTCTTCAGAGATTTAAAGTGCAGGAGCCGAGTAGGGTCTCCACACTGCGGGGGTTGGAAGGTGCAGCAGTGTGGTCTCAGTGTTTCATTCTCTCTCCTCGTTACCTCCTTGTCATCTTTCAGCCTCACGGCATGCACCCCCATGGCATCGTGTTAACTCTAAGATATTGTGATACGTAAAAGAGAAAAAAATGCAAACAGAACGTACTTCTATTGAGGTCTCTAGGAAGCTGAACTTTACTGATTGAAAAATACATAATTACTAATTAAGACCCTGGATAGACTCTCACATGCTCAGAAGTCAGGGGACGTGTATGTAGCTACATACTGGGCACCAGGCTGCCGCCCCTGACTGGATGTGTCTGTGAGATGTCGCTGCCCACATGTAATCTCCAGATCGCAGACACACACAGGACCAGAGCGAGCACCAGCAGTTTTAAGGATAGCATTTGCTAACACAGGCCTCTTGTGAATTACATTGTTTAAATGGGCCATTAGCTGTGACCCTGAACTTTGTTAAATCTGGACAAGTCCACATGTAACTAAGAATTTTTTGGTCTTCGTATTAACTGAATGATTAGAAAATCAGTTCTCCTTTTCTTCTCCCACATTCGAAAGAAGTTTAGCCTGTTACTGACACTGTCACCATATAACAGTACAAGCGCATGAAACTTTTATTGTTTCAGTTCTTTACTAATAGATTATGCTCTCAGCTTTTTTCAGTATGTTGAAATTTACTTTTCAGATTTTTGTGATTATAACAAAAAGAAAACCTCATGTGTGCAGGCGATGTAGAACATTTTCTAGGGGGCCCCATCCTTAGTTCAGAGTAGAGTGACGATGGTGAGTCGTGGTTAGCTGCAAGTACAGATACTGCGGATGGGTGTGTATACACTTAGGTCCCCTGACTCCTGGTTCAGTAAAGATGGAGAAGGGGTAGGGTTTTGTTTATGTTTATGTGTTTATCTTTTTCCTGATCATTTTACCTTCTAGAAACTGATGGAGGGTCCAAGGTTATAAGTAATGTCATTAATGAAACAATTAATATAAATTAGAGCAACTTAGAGAAGTCTTGGCATACGTACCAAAGACGCAGTTTGTGGTCAGTGTTTAGAGATAAAAATGAAGTGTCTGGTTTATCACTTGGAAATTGGGTCTGTGTTAGTTTGATTCTTCGCGTGTTACCCTTAAGCTGTATTAAAGTTAGAACAACTGAATTTACATACTGTGGTTTTTATATATGAGATTAATATGTTTTGAGAGCTAGGTGGAAAAGCTTATCAAAAATTTTTTTTTATGAAGTGCTTAATATCTGTCTGTCTTAAGCCACAAAAGTATCTAGCATAGATTCTTCAGAACAGAAGAAAACCAAGAAAAACTTAAAGAAGTTTCTTACGCGACGCCCCACTTTGCAAGCTGTTCGTGAAAAAGGTTATATTAAAGGTAGGTAGAAGTGGTGTTTATAATAATGAACTTTGGCCAAAATCAGAAATAAGACATTTTAAATTAAAAGCTGAAAAAATTTCTAAAAAATAAAAATGTTCTCATTCTTTATTCATAAAGTTACCAGGTTCAGTGATTAAAATACATTTGAGTAATTAAAATTGATTTTTTCCAGTATTTTTTTTCTTTTAATTTGATTTTAATTTTTTTGGTGGGGGGAGGGAGATAATTAGGTTTATTTATTTTTGGAGGAGGTACTGGGGATTGAACCCAGGACCTTGTGCATGCTAGGCATGCACTCTACCACTTGAGCTATACCCTCCCCCCCTAAAATTAATTTTTTGATATGCAGGAAGAATGTATTTTCACTAAAGCATTGAACAGACATCAGCACAAAATGAGGTTTTTAGAAACCCTGCAGCAGAGGGACTGAACAGATGGGGTGGGCTGGGCGGCAGAATTGTGGAAGACATGACAGTAAAGATTCTTAGTTTTGAGAGGCACAGGTCAGAAGGAATTTTGAATAAATAATCACTAACAGTAGGAAAAAAGAAGGAAAATCATGGACAATTTTATTCTGGATCATTTGCCTTCAGTGCTCATTTAAGGTAATTTTAAAATTAGAATGAGATATTTTTTCCTAATTAATTTTTACATCTGTTTTTCATGAATAAGAAACATACGCACTAACAGGATCTTTTCTTAATAGGAAAGAATTCTTTAGCATCACATATACTTGTATATATGCGTTTAATTCTTACAAGCACGTTCAATCTCAAAGATAAAATTTCCAATATGTGACTCAAAACAGAGGCATTTGTTAATAAATAAAGATGCAGGTGGCACAGGACACACCACGTATCATACCTGTCTCTGGTTGTGGAGCGTCTGACAGAGACCACCGCCAGGCACCTGCTCGCAGAGCATCTGAGTAAAGTACACAATTGAGTTTCGTTAAAAAGATATTTAAAACTTCTAGGGAGAGTTCAGCTAATTAAGTGATTCAAATTAGCAGCCTTAAAGAGTTAAGGATAAATAGGTACTCCCAGATAATCCATGTGAATTTAGCATATTGAGCTTAGAAGCTTAAAAAAAAAAAAAAACCTGACAAACAACCAGGCCTTTTCAGTGAGAAATAGAGTTGTCACTTTCTGGTGGTGTTCACCCACTTTAATCCTGTGTTTTGTTTGTTTATTTTCCTGAATATTTAGCACTAATGCGGAATTTCAAAACTGTTGAGTTGAAAGATGACTAGAACAGACTTTGATATATTTTGTGAAATCAGATGTTGGCACACGATGGGCATGCTTTAATAGCTTAAAAAAATATTTTAGCTCACTGGTAGAGCACGTGTTTGGCATGCATGAGGTCCTGGATACGATCCCCAGTACCTCCATTAAAACACACACACACGCACACATATTTGAGTATTTACTAAGTGGTAGGCATGAATTCCCGGTGGCATTCAGGAGTTACAAGGTCCCTGTCCCTGTGAACCTTCTCTAAAGATGAGAGATAGATAATCTAGAATCGGGATGACTGCTCTGAACAATCTGGTGTAATAATAAAATGGAGAGTGAGTGAGATTGGATTACCTTAGGCAGGACGGTCAGAGGGCTTCTCTAAGGAGGGGACATGTTAGCCGAGCCCAGGAGTGATGACACAGAGCTTCCCAAGGGAAGACTGATCTCTGTACAAGATGTAGGAAGTGAGAAGGGGGTCAGGCTGGAGTGGGGGTGTCATGGAGCTCAGTGCAGCAGGAACTCGTGCGACATGGAGTTGGAAGTGGTAAGCAGGCTGCAGGGCACACGGGCGTGCGTCGTGGTGACCAGTGTCAGCGTGCAGGGGTGTCCTTCTGTTGCGCTGTGAATGGTTTAGCTGTTTTGTGAACTAAATTTTAAACAGATGATTCATCTTTAAAAATCTCTTTCAGATCAGGTATTTGGAGCCAATCTTGCTAATCTGTGTCAGAGGGAGAATGGTACCGTGCCAAAATTTGTGAAATTATGCATTGAACATGTTGAAGAATATGGTAAGAAAATGACTTTTTTTTTAATGTGCAGCACACCAACCCATTGTTTTGGCATCAAAAATCCCTAGGATTTTTATGATTTTGAGTGTTGCAACTGGAAGTTCTTTATAGTCGTAAGTTGTGAAGAAAAGCATCTTTTTTGCAAAAGAAAAAAAAAGCCTTGCATTTTGTACGGTTTCAAATTAAGCCTCTGCAGGCATCTGTTGAGTGTACTTATGTTTGATTCAACGTATGGTATTTCTGGAAGCTGTTTGGAGTTGGCATTTGCTTAAAATGAAGAAGGTGGTGATTGTGAAACTGACTTTATTGAGTGATGGGCAGAATAGAAGATGTAAGGAGATAGTATTTATTTACTAAGAGAAAGTTTCTTGTGTATATAGTAAAAAGGAGGTGGCATTTTGAAGCCAACTATTAAGTGTCTAAATAGACAAATCCTTTGAATGTCATTTCCTGTAAGAGAAGTCTGGAACTGATTTCTATTTTGGTTAACTTTAAACATGTTTATAATATAATAGTATCTTGCCTATAATAACATTATCTTACATCGATACATCATCGAGAACACCTTGTGTAATTAATACATTTGCATCATATTTAATTCCTGCCAGTCACAGATCTCTTGTCTGACTCTTGTCAGCAAGACGCAGAGACACCAGGCTACCTGCCTTTTTCGGAAGTTAAGTGAACAGCACATTAGCTAGTGTTAAGTGTGTTCATCAGTATCATTTAATGAATATTTGAATTTTTTAGGCTTCTTTGTGTGAATTTCAGATGAGTCTCTTCTATATATAAAAGAAATGAATGACTATCAAAGTAATCAGTTTTTACAGAACCGTTACTTTAGTTGCCTGCTTGTATTAGGTTTGTTTATTACAAGCACTTAATAGGACACACACTTTCCAGAGTGCATTAATATGTGCATTCACATTACCAAGTGATGTGCAAAGAAATGGGGCTGATTTTATCTACTGGTTCCTTTACTTTGTTATTGTTGTTGTAGTTTTGGCAGGAGGAGGCAGTTAGGTTTATTTATTTATTTTGTAATGGAGGCACTGGGGATTGAACCCAGATCCTCATGCGTGCTAGGCACGCGCTCTGCCCCTCTGCTCTACCCTCCCCTCTTTCCTTTCCTTTTTGAATTACCCCCAGGCGTTTGCCAAAGTTTATCTTAAATTGCTAGTATTTCAAGTTGAAGACGGTTTCCTCGAGATGGCCCCCGGTGCACCTGGTAATCACAGCAGGCTTGTTGCTGTTTATTTATTTATTTATTTTTTTACATTTTTTATTGATTCATAATCATTTTACAGTGTTGTGTCAAATTCCAGTGTTCAGCACAATTTTTCAGTCATTCATGGACATATACACACTCATTGTCACATTTTTTTCCTCTGTGATTTATCATAACATTTTGTGTATATTTCCCTGTGCTATACAGTGTAATCTTGTTTATCTATTCTACAATTTTGAAATCTCAGTCTATCCCTTCCCACCCTCTACCCCCCTGGTAACCACAAGTCTGTATTCTCTGTCCATGAGTCTATTTCTGTCCTGTATTCATGCTTTGTTTTTGTTTGTTTGTTTGTTTTTG